AAATCATGAGATTTTAACATCATCTTTGGGGCTCTTTTTCTTTGCCTTCTGGTGTCTGATCCTTTAGGGTGTGGTCCTACTCAGGTCACGTATCCAGCTTTTCTTCACAACCACAACAGTGGGAAACTCACTTGGTTTTTTTAAATGCAAGCTGAGATTCTCACTGACTCACCTGATTCCAGGAGCTGGGGCTTGTGTGTGTGTTTGTGTGGTGTCTCTGTTTGGGGGCAGAGTTCTGTGTGAGGTTTCCCTATGTGCGGTGTGGGTTTACTCACAGGATTCGTGAGGCTGATCGCAGGCTAGCCCAGTATAAGGGGTTGGTATGGCTGGAGCGGGCCCCTCCCCTGTGCATGGTCAGCAGCAGCCTGGCTGGGAGGACCTTGCTGCATGCTCATTACAGACTCTTGGTGACCTTTCCCTCTGAAGCTGTATATTAAAATTCAGCCCTCAAAGGCAGAAAGTAAAATGATCTCAACCTCTCTCCCACGCCCAATGCGCTCCACAGCATGCTGGGATATTAACCACTCCTCTCCTGGGTCAGCCCCACCACTAAATATGTCTGGGGCTTCGTTCCAAGTCCCTGGTGTCTATCTACATCCAACAAACCTCCTCCTGGGTTTGTAGCATCTGGTCTCTGCTAAGGAGAGACTCCAAAATAGGAATAGCAAGGAGGGAGAGGGCTGGGAGGGGTCAAGTTTGAGGAGCAGCAGCAGCAGCACTATGGCAGGATGGGATGGTGTCTCAGGGCAGATCAGGATTATGGTGCACCCAGCAGTGCAGTCCACACCCATTCACTTTGCTCCTTTTCTTAATTATCCCTTTTATCACCCATTTGTCTTTTTTACTTGTTCATGGCAATGGCTGCCAGTCTGCGCATCAGCCTCTTTCCAGCTTCTGGCACAGCTCTCTGAAAAGAGAACCACAGAGACAGAGGCAGCTAGTGTGGGAGGCTGGGGGCACTACCTGAGCCACTCCTGCTAAAGAGAATCTTCCCAGCAAATGGGGATTTGTGGAGTGGGTTTAGTCAGACGCTGCAGCTTAGACCTGAAGTCTGTTCACAGCCTGACTGGGCAGGGACGTAAGAAAGGCCCCATTAGCTTTACAGAGTCCCGGAATGGCTAGGAGTCAGAGCACAGGTGCAGGGGATTGTGGGGCATTAGTGTGAATGGGGGGACTTGCATTGGTGGGGATTGCTTTTCCAGCTGTGCTTTCCCTATCTGTATAGCTGGTACCTGTGTTGGGGGTATAAGACACCGGGACTTGGGCAGTCAGGGCTAGCGGTTAGAGCAGGAGTCAGCAGCCAAAGCCAAAAGTCAGAGTCAGGAATCGGAGCTGAGGGTCAGGAGTGAGACAAGGCAGGAACAGGGCCGGGGGGCAACAGGCGCAGGAGCTATTGCAACCGTGGGCGAGTGCTTTGAGCAGCCACCGAACATCTGCTGCTGGTTGGCTTAGGAGCCAGTCTGCTGACTCTTCAAACCAATCCGGTGGGGCAGCCAATCAGGCAGCCTGCTACAGGCCAGCTGTGCTCGTTAGGTTGCCCCAGGCTGGCTCTGCTGCAGGCCCTGCTTCCTGACCAGGGATGGGGAGGTGCTTGTCGTGTTGTAACAGGTCGGAGGTGAAGACACAAATAAAGCTTTTGCCCTCCAGCTGTTGAGTAGCATGTGGGAATTCACACCCCCTGTAGCACGCCCAGCCCCAAGCATTTACAACTCCCAAGTCAGGCCCCGAAACACCAGATTGGCTTAAAAATCAGGAGAGTTTGTAAAAATGTTGGGTTCTGTTTTTTGCCTCCTGGGTCATGTTTTCCAGCTTCCCTCTGCAACCAGGACTGGATGCTTTGTTGTTAAATTCGAGCCGAGATCCTCATTCACTCCCATGACTCCGGGAGCTGGGGCTTTAGGGAAAATGCTAAATATCACAAGACTGGCAAAAAAAATCATGAGAGCTGGTAACACACTGCATGTGTTTCCTCCCTTCCACTAGTTCTCCACACCGACAGCAAGAAAACAGGCTGCGTGCAGAGAGGGACCTGTCCCCTCCCGGGAAGTGTGTGCCCGACTTGGCTTATGCGCATGTATGTCACTGGCCTTTGCTGGGGAGAACACGCTCAGGCCTACGTCTGTTACATTGAGGCGCTGCAGAGGGCATGAGTGGGGCTGGCAGCACTGAGGAAGCCACAATGGGGTCTGGTTCGGAGTCCCAGCTGCAGAATGTGCAGGACATGCCCAGATTCATGCACACAGAGTGAACCTGAGCTCCTGATGGGAGGCCCCTGGGCCTGCTCTAGTGCCCCATCCCCAGCTGGCAGTGAGTTTACAGGGACCTTGGGGCCAGGAACCATCCCCAGTAGTGGATACCATGAGGAGCTGACCCCAGCTGTGCCATGCTGGGCACCAACCACATCCTTAGGGGCCAGCAGACAGGATGTGGAAATGCCCATGTTTCACCAACAGACTCGCTCCGTTTTGGAAATAGCTGAGAGCGTGCACCTCCATCTCCTTCCAGCACTGAGTGATTCACGCCCATCCCAGCTGAGCGGGAGGAGCACACACAAGAGGCATGAGTCTTGCCTCACACCTTGGTCCCGTTGCAGCTCACAGGGGTCAGCGCAAGCCTTGGCTTCGCTCCGGACGTGCATGGAGCCCACCCCCTGCGGTTCTGGTGCAGATAGTCTCACCCACCCACACTTCCCCTTTGGGGGAGTGACCCCTCTGGAGGTATGCATCCCATTCCAGAGGAAACTGCCTCTGATAAGAAGCTGGCACCTTGGCCCACATTCGTACCTGCCAGTGCCATGCTCCATGTCCGTGCTCCCATTGCTCAACCCATAAACAACGTGCCTGCCAGGAGCAGCTGGAGAGAAGGAGCCCTGGCCAGAGGCAGCACATACCTCAGGGCTGCGTTTTACAGACACAGAGCGAGAACCAGACACTTGAACGTGTTTTTTAAATACCTAGAAACCTGGTCCCTGCAAAACCCACAGCAGCAAAGCCGCGATGAACAGCAAGTGCCCAGAGCAGCACAGGCCACAGAGAAACCCTGCCTGTCTCCCCACAGGGTTCCAGGCTCACGCAGGGTTCCAGGCTGCAACTTCTCTGTGTTCTAGGCTGTCTCCCCACTGGATTCTGGAGGGCCGCCTCGCAGAGTTCCAGACTGCCTCCCCTCAGTGATGGGTCTGCAGCCGGCCGGGTCCAGGGACATCAAGGGGTGATGTTAACCCTTCCCCGTTCAACACACTCTCCTGCGTGAGGCCGGAGCAGCATGGGTGGCAGGTGCTCTCATCCCAACTGTGAGAGCTTTGCAAAATACTTGTGTCAAACTCAAACCAGCTGGAGCAGAGCAGGGTTTGAGGGCCAGTGTTTTCCCAGAGATTCACCTGGGCTATGGGCGCTCGGTGAACAATCTGGGGAGCCACCAAACCACACCCCGAGCCTCCACGGCCACTCTCCCCCTAGCAAGGCCCAAGACCTCATTGTTACTTAGAAGGATAAGGAAGGTTGAGGGAGTGCCATGCCATATAGGGCAAGAACCATCTGGCACTAGGGAACTGGCCTCTCACTGCTGGGCCCTCAATGAAAGGTCCCAGGGTGGATGGGGTGGAGGATGCTACATGGAAGGGATGGTTCATCAGCCCCTGCAAAAGGAACTGCACAAGCACCCTTGCACAGTGGGTGGCCTCCCCCTGCCTACAGGGCCAGGATGAGGCCTGGGCATCCCTGTAATGCCACATAATCCCAACTGTGTGGCCTGGTGCGGGGGGAATCCTAGCCCCAGTGGGCAATGGGCTGACGGTGGGCACAGCCCCCCTGCCCAGCACTAGCCCTTCCTGTCGGCACTGCTGCTGTGTTTTCTAAGCTGTTTGCCACCTCTCAGGGCTTTGAGACCCTCCATTGATTTTAATCTCAGGCTCCCAGGCTTCATCTGAGAATCCCTCCTTCTCCCTGGCAGTCCAGGAGCCCAGGCCACTGTGCAATGACAGGACAGCGCAGGCTGTGGAAGCTAAAGAGACCCGCTGGGTCTGTCTGTGACCTGCAGCCCCCTTTGCATTCACCACAGCCCAGGCCTGTCTCTGCTGTAGCACAAGGGACACTCCATGGGTCTCCTTGCTGTGGTGTACTGGAAACTGGTTACAAAGGACAAGCCATCGCTTTAAGATTGAGGGATTTCCTGGTCCTGCTTGCAGGCTAGGGGCCTCAGAGAGAAGCTGCGTGATCTGCGTCAGTCGGCAGCCTGGAGCGAAGCAGCCTAGAAAATGATGCAAAGAGTCCTGTGGCACCTTATAGACTAACAGACGTATAGGAGCATGAGCTTTCGTGGGTGAATACCCACTTCTTCAGATGCAAGTGGGTATTCACCCACAAAAGCTCATGCTCCTATACGTCTGTTAGTCTATAAGGTGCCACAGGACTCTTTGCTGCTTTTACAGATCCAGACTAACACGGCTACCCCTTTGATACTAGAAAATAATGGGATGAGTTGTGCCTCTCTGCCTTCAGGGAGCAGCCTACTTTGTCTCTCTCTGGTTTATCACTATGAATTCTCAGAAATAAAGGAGTGGGACGTTGCAACCTTCGAGCAAGAGTATTTGTGTTTTTATCTCACTTCTCTGTGTGCGAGCCATGAAACAGAACATGTCCAGTGCTCCCCTTCAGATTGTTACACCTCTAGTTCAAATGTTTCATTTCAATCCCCAGTGGTCATTTTTAATCACATAAAAAACCCTTTACAAGGAGCATTCAGGACATGGCTGCTTTGGGCTGTCAATCAGTTCTCTTCTTTCTTTGGAGCAAGGTGGCCACTCCCCACCCAACAAATGATCACAGCAGAGGATCTCTCCCTGTAACGTTTATTGGTCCATGTCAAAAAATTATCACTCAGCTTGGCCTTCACACAGAGGCCCAGGATGGGTACAGCAGGGTGCAATAGAGGGACTGTGGCAGATCGGGGGGGGGGGGGAGCCCAGGGCCAAAAAAGCAGGGGGCTGCAGGTCAGGATTGAGGGGCATGGGCAGAGCTGTATGTGGGGGAGCCCCCGGCTGGAATAGCAGGGGGCTGCGAATCAGGACTGAGGGGCATCTGCAGATCTGTGCATGGGGGAACTGCCCCAGCACACTGCCCATGTCAGACCTGTCTCTCCAGTGACCTTCACCCTGCCTCCGTTCACCCCAGACCAACCCCCACAAGGTGAAGACGCAAACCAAGCAGCAGCAGCATGCAGAATGGGCACCGTCTGATGAGCCATGACCAAAGCGTTCAGACACAAACTGCCCTTTGCTGTCAGCGGCCCAGGTGCCCGCATTGTCGATTGTCCTGACACACCAATAGCAGCGACTCCCCACCCTGGCAGGAGAGCCGGTCTGACCCAGTGGGGCAGGGCGTGCGAGCGCTTGCACCACCTGTTTCAAGGGGAGGAATTCATTCAGGGCTGTCCTCACAACCCCCTCTGTCCAGACAGGTCACCGGCTGAGACAGGCTGGCGCCTTTTCGCTGAAGCCTGTCGTCACACGGGCCCCAGCCAAACTGGGGAGTGGCACCACACAATCACTCCGCTCAGGAACCTGCCCCCACCTACACCCTGACATCCCACCAGGCTCAATCTCTGGATGCTGAAATTTAGCATCTTCAGCTTGGATCTCCAGCCACTCCAGTCCCGCAGGAACAGTCTAGGGAGAAGCGACATAGGGCAGCTGATTTCCAGTTCATCGCGGCCCCAACCGGCTCAGCTACGGGGCAGCTTGTCACCGAGGGATGCACCTGTGGATCATGAAGATGCCTGGCTGAGCCTTGGGAGCAGAGCCATGGCAGGTCCGGCGGGTGGGATGGGCTCCCCGGCTCACTAGCACGGTCGAGTCCCTTCTGACGTCCAGCCAGCAGCAGGCTGATGAAGCGCAAAACAATCCTGCTTTGGTTCTTACTTTTATCCCCCAGGTGCTCCCCTTCCTGCCTCTCCTGCAGGCCCTCGACTGGACCAGTGGGCCCCGGATCCCTGGGCCAAGCTATACGGAGCGCTTGGAGAATGGTGCAGCCGCCTATGGCCGTTGGGAAGCAGGAATGGCCCAGCAGGGAGGGGGGCAGTTCTCAGCAGCTAGTGGCACATGCGGTCCAGGCTCATCGGGCCTTTGGCGCTGAAACGCCTGCTGTCCCTCTTAAAGCCAGGGCTCCACTTTCACTCATAGCCAGGGACTCTGTTCTCCCCGCTGGCGGGCGAGTGCCCCTCCGCCATCCCCGTCCTTCCCTTGAGCCCCTCCGGGTCTGTGGCCTGGCCGCTCGGGGCCGGGTCGTACTGGAACGCTGCCAAAGGGAATGCACCGGTTAGCGAGGGTGGCTGCCCAATTCAGGGCCAGGGGACTGGCTGGCATGGGCACCTGGGAGCTCATCTGGGCATGGAGGGGCCCAGCTCAGACCTGGGGTAAGTGAGATAGACTCTGGGGAAGTGTATGGGGGCATTCCACCTATTTACATCCGGGGGAATCTGGCCCCAGCTTGGGTTTAGGCCAGAGGAGGGAGCTGAGAGGGGGGCACACAGGATTGTGATACAAGCCACTGCTTGCTCTACCTGAGCCAGGACAGATGGAGAACCCAGGCCAGGCCCAGAATAGGGGGAAAGCAAAGGTGGCTTGAAGCCCCCCTCCCTGCCCCAAACACAGGAAGGGGGTAGTGGAGAATTGGGCTCCCAGGCACCCTGCAGGATCGAGCCCTGCTTTGGGGCTGTGGGAGCAAAGAAGAGACCCGGGGGTGTTTTCCAGCTTGAGAGCTCCAAGTTCCACAGCAGCGGCGCTATGGTCACCATGGCCATCCCGAGGGCCAGGGCTTGCTGGGAGGGGACCTCTCCCATCATGGGGATGCTGTCACTAGCCTGGGGGCGGGAGCCTTGTCCCACTCACCAGGCAGAGGGATCAGCCCTCCCAGCCCCAATCCCCCATGGAAGCAGTGCCAAGTGCCTGAACAGCACTGTGGAAATCAGCCAGGGGATTGGCGCACGTGCTGGAGCAGGGTTTAAGGAGCCAGGTCCGGCTGCTTCCCATCCAACCCGCCTCTCCCCGACACTCCAATCCACCGTGGAGCTCAGGACTGCTCCAGCCAAGGGGATCTGCAGCTGTCCCAGCACCTGCCCAGGTTGGAGCATGCTCAGGAGGCAGGCAGCGGGACCTGGCACATCATCTCCAAAGCAGGGGGGAGGGGGTTAGGGCACTGGCAACACAGTCCTGAAACAACCGGGCTTGCCCGCTGGGATCCCAGGTCAGCAGCATTACGGTAAGGAAGGTAGGCTCCTGTAGCAGGGCTCTGGCACAAGCAGGGCCGGCTCCAGGCACCAGCCGAGCAAGCTCGTGCTTGGGGCGGAAGATTGTAGGAGGCGGCATTCCGCCCAATCCTAGGGCGGCCCGGCCGCTTTTTTTTTTGGTTTGTTCCGCTCCAGCTGCCCTGTAGGGGGCGGCGGTGCGGAGGAGGGGAGCGCCCTGCAGCAAGCCCGTCAGGGCAGCCTCGTCCTTCCCTCCCAGCTGACCGCGGTGCGGAGCCCTCCTGGCAGGCGGCTCGGCGGTTGGGGCTGCTGACAGCGCCCCACTGAAGCCCTGGCTGCCCCCTTCTCTCTCCCCCCCCCCCCCCCTCTCTCCCCCGCTAGCCAGGGCACCAGCGCAGGGAGTCCCCCTGCACCCTGGCTCCGGCCGCGCTGCAAGTTTTTTTTTTTTTTTTTTGCTTGGGGTGGCAAAAAAGCCAGAGCCGGCCCTGGGCACAAGGAGAGGGGTGACTCTGCTAGTGGATCATCAGCCCATAGACAGGTTCCAGGCAAAGGCTACGGAAACCCTGTGAGCTCAAGGCAGTGCCTGGCACTCGGTGGAGACACGATCTGTGCCTGGCCCTCTCCCAACCTGCCCCCTTCCCCTCCCCAGTGCTGCTGTGGTGGGATCATCCTGCCAGGCCAGACAGAGGCACTGAAATTCATCCCCACCCGGGCACGGAAACAGCAGCTCAGGGGCCCTTGGGGGAGGCTAGACCCCGACTGACACAGTGTAAATACATGCAGCACCCAGCCCGGCACCCGCAGCTCCCCCTGAAATCCAGGAAAGTTGGGGGCACCCCAGGAAATCAGGCGATAGGCCCTGCAGTGAAAACAGGGAGGGAAAAGCGGGGCCTGGAGACAGAGGGCTGGGATGGCTCTGGGAAGGGCAAGCTGACTGGCACATCACCCTTGGCATGGGCGGGGTAACACCCGGCACCAGCAGGGGGTGAAGGCAAGACTCAGCAGAGACCCCTCTCGGGCAAGCTGAAGGAGTGGCCCCTTTGGCTGGAAGTAGCGGTAAGTTGTTATCCTCCAGGGGTCATGCTCTAGCAGGGCCACCCAGAGGATTCAGGGGGCCTGGAGCAAAGCAATTTCGGGGGCCCCTTCCATAAAAAAAAAGTTGCAATACTATAGAATAGTATATTCTCGTGGGGGCCCCTGGGGCAAATTGCCCCATTTGACACCCCCCCTCCCCGGGCAGCCCTTTGCTCTAGGGAAGTTTCCTTCCTCGGGGACAAGCCAGTTCCAATGCAAGGAACCGCGGGCTGAGCCCCAGATTCACCCCGCTGCCCTTGGCACGGATCGCTGCCCTTGTGCCAGCCCAGGGCGCCCATCCCCGCGGTGTCAGGCCCGGGCTCACCCGCCCTGGCGCCGTGCCGGGCCCGCACACTTTGCATGGCCAGCCGGTTCTGGAAGCGCACCAGCCCCAGCCCGATCTCCGCGCTCCAGCCGGGCTCCTCCCGCGGGCCGCGGAAGTCGATCTCGCAGCCGCTGTCGGTCACCACGGTGAAGTAGACGTGCCGCCGCTTCCACTCGACGCACTCCACCGCCCGCATGCGGGCGAAGCCCAGCTCCTTGCAGCGGGAGCCACCGGGCTCGAAGAGCCGCAGCCCCTCCTCGGTCAGCAGGCAGCGCTTCTTCTTCCAGCGCTGCAGCAACCCCCCGCTGCGCTTCTCCAGCACCCCCTCCTTCAGCACCTGCGGGGGGGTGCCTGCCCCCCGCCGGGGCATCCCCTGCAGCCCGGGGTCCCGGGGCGCCCGGCTCCGGCTGGGCACGAGAACCGCGGCCCCTTCCGCTTGCAGCGCAGGGCAGCCAGGCGCGATCCCCCGCGCTGCTCCGCCCGGGCTGTGTCGCGGCATGCCCCGGCTGTGCTCCCTTCCCCTGCGGAGCCTCGTCCCACGCCCCTCCTGCCTGGCAGGCACCCTTCCCAGCCAAACGCAGGCCGGGCCAGGCTGGGGGCGGCCTCGGCGCGCAGCTGAGATTCATTCACAAATTGGCGCACACACGCGGCTGGGGAGGGAGGGGATCCCTGCGGAGCAGCCCCGGTTCCACCCCAGTGCCGTTTGGACAGCCAGGGCTTTCCTGACTGCCGGGCAGCTGCAGCCCCTGGAGAGGGAGGGTTAGTGGGTTGCAGGGCTGATGTGCCAGTCTGAGGCCTGAATCATTGGCTGGCAGGCAGGCAGGCAGCGTAAATCCCTTTGCTCAGCAGCAACGTGCCCCCAGGAATGGAGCTGTTTGCACAGCACGGGTGCCAGGCAAGGGTCTGAGACATTCGTATGGCAGCAGCTGGGCCTGGTGGGGTCTGAGTCTGGTGTGTGGCAGCCATGCCCGGGGGTCTGCCCATACGACCATGCCTCAGAGGCCTGGCGCACCCAGCCTCTGCCATGCCCCTGAAAATGAACCCCAGCATCAGGCAGGCCCAGTGGCCCCAGATACGAGCAACCTAGGGGGGTTGTGTGCAGCTTTGCCAACCCCCACACATTGGCTTGATCAGTTGTTTCACATATGCACATCCCCACAAAGGGGCTCTCTCTTGTCTTCTGGACCTTACTATGGTCTGGTGCTTCCCTCTGGCTTTGGGGAAGGGTGGGGGATTATAAAAGTAGAAACACCAGGGCAGGCGCTGGGTTTGAAACCAGACCCTTCAGTATTACGGCTCAGGCCTTTGCCACTTGCGCTAAAGGGGTAACTCTTTTAACTGACAGCAGTAGTAGGTTGTCATCCTCTAACAGCACAGACACTAGAGAGGGCTCATAGCAGTGGAAGGGCAAGATGACAGGCTTGGTGGGATGGTCTGTGAGACAAGCAGCCAGCATCACAGGCTTGGGGGGTACAGAAACCAGGGCAAACGCCTCGCTGACAGGAACAGGATGGGAGATCAGGCCCATGCAGTATAGAGATGTCACCACCCCTTCCTGTGTTGTCAGCAGGGTCTGAATCAGGGGTCCCCAACGCGGTGCCCGTGGGCACCATGGCACCGCCGGGGCATCCAAGTGCGCCCGCCTGCTGGCTGCCGGAAAAGCAGGCACCGAAATGCCACCGAGAAGCAGCAACGTCATGAAGCACTACCGCCGAAATGCCACCACATTTCGGCGGCGATGCCTCTTGACGTTGCCGCTTCACAGCGGCATTTTGGCGGCTGCTTGTCCGGCGGCCACAGTCCTCGGCGGCTAGTCGTCCGGCGCCCGCCCCATGGAAAAGGTTGGGGACCACTGGTCTGAATCTAGGACCTTCAGCACTAAACCCACCAGCCTCTCTTGCTTGAGCTAAAGAAGCAGAGATCTGGACAGGCAGCAGAAGAAGGCTCTTAGCCACACTAGCTGCCAGAGAGGGATAAATGCCCACACTGTGCTCTTGGGTTGGCAGAAGTTAGTGGGGGAGGTGCCCACGTGCTGTCTGTGATCCAGGGTCCAGGGCCCTTGCTTGGGCTGGTGTTGGAGGAGCTTGGGGATCAGCCATGCTGCACCCAGCATAGGCAGGTAGGAGGATGCCCCTGGCCAGGGCTGAGGAGAGCTGGGCCAGCTGCCCAGCGAATGGCTCAGACCCGCCACCCCCGGCATGGCTGCCATTCGAATGTCACCTCCAGCCATTCCCTGCATCCTAGTGATGGTGCTGCCCAGGGGAGCGGAGCGCAGGTGTTGTTGGAAAGAGCCTCCCCGAATGCAGCCTGCAGCCACTGATCACCCACATTTCTCAGCCATCGTCAGCCCAGGGCAGCCGCTGGATATGGCCAGAGCTGCAAGTCTGTGATAAGAGTGAGACACGGCTAATTACCCCTCATTAAAAGGGCTGGGGCCGCAAATCCCAGCGGAAGCTGTACCCAGGAACTAGTTAGTGTTTCCAAGGGTCAGTTCCTCCCTTACTTACATGGGGTAAATCTGGAGTAACCAAAAGCACGAGCAGGCCTCCTCAGGTTAACTTCAGTCCCACCTACCCTGTACTACATTACAACCCGCTGCAGGAGTTGAACCCAAGACTCAAGCACACACCTTTCCTATGTGAGCTAAAGGACCATTGGCTGGCAGCGGTAGTAGGTTATCCTCTATGTCAACCAAGAGGGACCCGACCCACACTTTACAGTTGTGTCCCCGCCACACAGGTTTGATCTTGCAGCATAGACTGGACCAAATGAAGTCCCTGACCCAGCCTATAAGCCAAGGTTATAGTAAGAACCAGGCACAGGGCGCTGCATGACTGACCAGCGTTTAACCATGGTGGGGGCTGTTGCACAGAACATTTCTACAGTGTCAATAGGACCTTGGCAGGTACGTGGCTGTTAGATTTGGGGGCTGCAGCAAGGAGCTGGCACCATAACAGAGCTGTGTGTGGGCAGCCCAGGGCTGCAATAGCAGAGCAGGGCTGAGGGGTGTTGGCAGAACTGGGGGAAGGGGGGCAGGACTGGAGCAGCAGGGGGCTGTGGGTTGGGATTTAGGGGCATCGCCAGAGCTGCAGGGGAGGGGAGCCCATGAAGTTTAGGGTGATCATCAGTCCTCGAGGTCATGAGAAGCAGCAACAAAGCAACTGCAACTTGGGAAGACCCAGGCACTCGTAAGGGTTGGATTGTGGTTTTATGGTCTATCCCCTACACCACAGGCCAGGTCCGGGTTAGCAGGGGGACAGGCCGCACCTCCTGCACTCTGTGACAATGTCAGAGCATCACACCCTGGTGCCGACTCATGACAGCATGCCCCCACATGAGCTGCAGCCAGAGCTCAGAATTGGCTTCTTCCTTCCCAAATCTATCTAGCCCTGGGCCTCAAATTCCCCACTCCTGGCCTGCAATACAATCACCCCTTATGGGAACTGAACAGAGCAGGGCCCTTCTCTGCAATGACTCCACAGTGCCACCTGGTGTCAGAGACCTGCAACTGTCCCATTGTCACCAGGAAATCCAGGGAGCCCGCTCGGTGATCTGGAATTGGGATGTGACCACCTTTGACTCTTCCAGTATTGCAGCTGCCATGCATCCGTGCCATGCTCTCAGTAACACTTCATCCACCCTGCAGTGGATTAAGAGGCGAAACTCCTGGGCCGTGAGGTCACCCTGCCATAGCATGGTGTCACCACGTTGCGATGTCACAGCTCATCACACGGTTGGGTGATGTCATTGCACTGCGAGGTCAGCCCACGGCAGGACTCAGCCCTCCCACAGCCATAATGCAATGCAGCAAAGAAGAGAGAGAGAAAGAAAAAGGAGGAAAGAGGTGAAAACTAGAAGGGAGAGAAAGAGGAGGAAGGAGATGGGTACGAAAGAAAGCAATGAAAACCCAGATATAAAACCACAGCCCTGACTGCTGGGCAGGGGAGTACTAGAGAAAGATCTTAGCCCATTGGCCTATTGTGAATGTTCTCAAGAGATCAGATCAGAACATCAGAATGGCCACACTGAGTCAGACCAAAGGTCCATCTAGCCCAGTGTCCTGCCTTCCAACAGTGGCCAATGCCAGGTGCTTCAGAGGGAATGAACAGAACAGGGCAATTATTAAGTGAGCCATCTCCTGTTGTCCAGTCCCAGCTTCTGGCAGTCAGCAGTTTAGGGACACCCAGAGCATGGGATCCTATAGACATGGTGCCACAACACACATGTGCACAAACAGCGATGCCTGAGATGGTGGCAGTAACACCCTGCTTCACTGCTATCACCCTGCCCCATGGCAATGCCACTCTGATTTGCAGGGCAAAACAGCAAAGGAAGGAGGCTCCCCAGTTAGGTTAGCATGGCTTTGCATGCCGGGGAGCCAGGACTGCCCAGGGAACCAAGAGCACAGCCCTGAGAAAGTGCATTGTCTCTTGGAGGCACTGACTGATGAGGTCTCCCACAGTGTGGAGATAATACAGTAAATGTCTCCATTGGCCCTAACACCTGCATAGCCACCCATCCCCTTGGGCCCCATGCACAGAACTAACAACGTACATGGGCCAAACCAATCCCAGCCAGCCCTGGCCCAGCCTGTGAAACCTGCCAGCATTTGTGCTGAATCAGGCTAATGTGCTTATCTTTCCCCCAGTGCAGAAGTATCTGAGCACCTCAGAGCCTGTAATACATTTACCTTTGTGCACCCGTGAGGTGAGGGCCATTAGCTCCATTGTACAGCTGGGGAACTGAGGCAGAGCAAGGCTAAGGGACGTGCCCCAGCTCATGCAAAGCAGGGCCTTAAACCCAGGTCTCCCCACTCCCAGGCTAACACACTAACAACTGGGGCATCCTTCCTACCCAAGGGGGAAAGAAGCTTGCTTTGAACAGACACGTGCCAGACTCTTAAGTGACCTCCCCATTACAGCTGGCTGGAAAATGCCACTTCCCTTTCACAAAAAACATCAGAGCTGGGGATTTGGTTTTGTTGTGTCTAGCAAGGAAACCAAGATCTTTTTAAAAAGCCAATAGACCAGTGGTTAGGGCCCTCATCTGGCATGTAGGGGATCTGCTCTGCCTGATACAAACCAGTGCTCCCAGGTGATGGCCCTAGCCCTTGGGCTATTGGCTATTTTGGGTCAGTTGGCCTCTCTCTACCCATCCCCCTCGAAATTTCACCTGCACCTGAGAAACCTTCTGATCCAGATGCATCCCGTGGGAAAATTCCCAGCCACCTCCCCACCCTATCTAATGGCTAGGTACCCTGGAGCTCCTCCTGGTATCTCAGCCTGCAGTGCCCAGGAGTCTGCCAGCAGAGGGCACAGACACTCACCCAACTATGTTGGGTTCAGATTCTGAATTTCCCCAGCCCTTCCCTTCCCAAGGAGCAGCCGAGTGGAGCCAGCAGGGCCGGCTTTAGGCCAATTCCACCAATTACCCCGAATCGGGCCCCGCGCCCAGTGGCAGGGCCACCCAGAGTGGGAGGCAAGTGGCAGAGAATCCCTTC